ATTGTCAATAAAAGCATCTCTGCTTTTGATAGCCTGAGCTTTTTGAGTTTCCGAATATGAAATTTCATGGCCACCAGCACCCATATGCCGCTTCCCAGACTCATCCTGTTTCAAGGATTCATCGAGTTTCTTTGTATAGTAGCCACTTCCCTCCTTCACTTTGGCAATTTCACTGAGGGTGGTGGAAATGCACGCCTGGATAATTGAAAAATCTAGATCCTCATTCTGAAATATGCCGTTTAGCTGTGTTACCCAGGGAATAATATCCATTTGCTAAAACATTATTGCCCCATTCACAACCAGAGTTAATTTCTTGAGAAAATCTACTGCCTTGGCATCATTCTTGTGGTTAGCAAAATAGGTTACATGGGCATCCCGTGACCTGTACACAGTTTCTAGGGCACTATAGAAAGCAAACCACTGAACTGAATGCATCAGTCTCCTTTATCTTCAACTTTGGGCTCTCTAAAATTTCTTGAATAGCCTTGAGCCTATCAACACGTTTTGCAGATTTAGAGAAGTAATAGTACAGGTCTGTTAACAATTGTCTACTTCTCCATTTTATCTACTTGATTGGCAGCTTGGCTAGTACACAATGCCAAATGGTGCATCATACAATAAATATTTATCATAAAGGGGTTCTCTTGCTAATTTTCTTTTGTTCCAAAAGGTAATTGGAGAGTTGCTCCCAATTAGGGAGTGAAAGTGGAAACAGATATGCTCAGTACATTACAAGCCTTTCATAGAGTCTGCTAATTCCACAAAATTAATGCTAAAGTAAAGCTTTAGTTAAATTCAAAGTCATATCAAGGAAAGAAGTAAAGTTTAAGCAATAACATTTAGTGAAAATGTATCTTTGCTTAAATTCAAATTTACCACCATTGCATGTGTTTTGTTGCTTTAAAAGCATCTGACATTAAAATGTAAAATATCACGGTGAGTTCAATATACACTAGGAAATACTTTGGAAATATGAAGCAATAATACATACCAGGGTAACTTGAAGTTCTATTTGTACAAACCGATCATTATTATTAAATATGCTACAAAAGATGTCAACAATTAATATTTACATGTTTGCATGATATTCTCTAAAGCACGGATCTTGACAACGTGTGACTCCACACTGAATGTACTTGAACTTTGTCCCAACTGGGTAACACTTAGCTTTTTCTTGCCTTTTGCTTTACAGTTAACACAGCTTCTTGCAGCAGTTGATTTTTTTGCTTTTGTGGCCCTCTGGGATATGAAGAAGTGGTGTAGCATTGTTTGCAGGTCACTTTTGTGAGCTAAAATTTCCGATGAGTTGCCAGCCCTAATGCAAGGGTGAAGGCATCTTGTGGGTGTTTGTGCAGCTTTTGGACCATAAGACAAAAACATTAAAGAAATCCAAATGAAATTATAACCAAAACAAATACTCATGTCACTTTTTAGACTGCTGCTTAACCTAATATGAACGAAGTTGATCAGCTCGATGAACTTCTCCCATGTTGCTGGTGTAAACATCTGGCACTCAGCTTTGACAATGTCAAGCTCTCTTCCTTCTACATTTTGCTGCACAGTGCACAGGGGCTCCCCTGGAGAAATTTTAGAGGCAAGAAAGGCCACATCTTGTTTGTTGTGGCATTTAGTGAAGATTTTAATTCCCCTTTTGAGCTTGAACAAGCTCACTGGCTCTGGTTAGCTTCTGCTTGGTGCAAGTTGGCAACTCTTGTTCACAAGAGTCCCTATGATCACATTAAGAGGCTCCTGCCTCGTAGGTAACCTCTTCTGCTTTTCATAGGGCTTCTTCTCATCAAGTTTGGAGGGGCTGCTTGCCTTGACCGCACTTCCTTTCTTTTTCTGTTGCCTGCAAATCAGACTTTTGTCATCTCTTGCTCGCCAAAACTCCCTTGTTAAGACTTCACCAGTAATAGACTGTCTCTCTATTAATCTGAGTCTGCTGCAATGTTTAGTCCAAAAATGCCTTCATTTCATCAAGAATGAATCTCTCAACACTGATAAGATTATGAGAATCTCAGTACGAACGTAGCTGGGGAAATTTCTGGATACCATGTAATGAACAATCTAATCGAAATAGCTGAGGTTTGAGGTTGAAGACTCGTCATCAGACATTTTATGTAGTTTTCCTTTGGCTCAATGGTTCTTGTAAACTGCTGCCACCATGTTAAGTGTATCCTCTTTAAAAGAAAGAATCACCTTAATCTCGGACTTGTGCCTGAGAACAACACGAAAAGAGTCCTAGTATATGTTATGATTACCACGATTATATGTAATAAATATGATTATATGACCTTGACTATTCTTCATGCAGAACTACACATGAGTCCTTGTACTTTTTGCAGTAAAATATTCACAATAAACTACTGTATTTATCTTATATCAAGTAGGAATTTGACATCAGCAGAATGATTGTGGAGAGATAAAAATTTGATTACTCTTTTGAGGAAGACAACTCACCTTTGTCTGACAATTCAGAAAACCACTTTGAGCCCTTGTCCATCTATGGTGACAGACTTTGCACCTGTAGAAATATTAAAAACTATTAATGAAAGGCTAACTTACAAGAAATGGTCATAATCCTCCTAACAAAATGAGCCTAAAATTACAATTGTATACTTGGTGCCTTGTCAAGAGTCCAAGGAATTAGTATTCCTTTAGATAAGCTTCATGTTATAAGCTGCAATGCATAGTCATGCACCACCACTAAAAACATGGAATCTTTTTAAAAAGGAATTACTTTAGTTGTACTATAAAAAAATTCTGTCCTCCTTATTCATATTAAATATATGGTATGATATTATTGAGGATGCAAATGTATTGTGCCTTGCATCGCAGTAAGAAAAGTCTGCAACTCTTTTGTCATAGGAACGTTGCAGCTTACTGCTCAAGTTTCATTACCCCTACTCCTATTCACAACTTGCAACACCTTTTTGGTTCTAAATAGTTTTAAATATACCAGCAGTTCAATATATCAATTAAAAAGTTTGAGTAAGAGGCGTCTTACCAGAAAGAAAGGGCTGACACTGTTATGTGCGCAGCTGATTTACTTAAATCTTGTCTTGAATCTGTCAAAACAGGGTCCAGGAAAAAATGGTGGAAATCAAAACACAACATTGAACACATTTCTCTTCTGGCAAACCTTTAGAGGTTTTTAATTTGATTTCAGAAATTATCTGTTTTTATGTGCCAGTCTGCAGACATGACACAACTAGCTCCTGTGCATGCAATTAATTGCATGCAGAGATCCTGGCTGCCAAAGAGAAACAAGTGGAATCAAACTCAAGAATGCACCTGTCATACTGAGCAGTGTATGTAAGTATGTGGGTAAACACAAAATATAGTTAAAAAATCATAACAACTTGTACCTCTCCATTGACAACAAAGGTAGAGTTACTCTTCACTCTTTTTGATCAGTCAACATTGACTCATTAGAGACCCTTGTAGAAATGTCATATTTAATTCACATTATAATCTAATTTATTTTACCGTAGAAATTAAAACTGAATAAAATGTTAATAAATTAACAGCAGCTTTACATATTTGTGTGCTCATTTCTATTATGGAGATAGCCATCAATGGATTTACGGCAGTTGTGCTATGGAAACATTTTTAACATTAGTCTGATCTGTTCCATTGTTACCGGATGTAGGGGGAAGGTTGATCCAAATTCCCCTTTACATTGCATCCATCTGAATGTCCTGGAAAAAACTACAATGTGAAAGAGAGAGAAACAAATTTTGAATAAACACTAAGTGCTTGAAAATCCCAACTGGCAGGAGGCAGACCAGTTGGCTGTTTACAGAGTGCAGCTGAAGAGTTGAACTCAGGGCAACTAAGAAGAAATCCAGCAAGTGGCAGGGTGGAGGACTTAAAGGCAGCAAAATTTTTTTTCATGCTAAGTGTGATGCAGTTAAAGGAGCATATCCTCGTGTTTGTCCTCCCATGCATGATGGCAAAAAATGTAGTTGACGCATCCAAAGATGGACTGGATGGTAAAGCTGGTTGTTGAATCTCAAGGGCTCTGTGACTAGCATGTCAAAACACTTCATTGTTTCTTTCTGTTGCTCTGCAATAGCCTGGAGATATCAGATAATTTCTGATAGGCCTTCGCGCTGGCTCTGCAGAAAAAAGCTTCATGGCGTGGAGCACCACACAACACGGAGTAATTTATGTTGCGGTGACGTTACAGGTGGTAATGGTAACAGAAATGTTGGTGACAAAGGTGTTGGAGATGGTTCTGATTTTTGTTTAAAATGCTTGGTAAATAGAAAACTTTTCCATGACTTTTTTACTTATAATTTGGAATACAAGAGCTGCTATCATCCATAATTAATTTTAAATTGGATTTAAGTTAGGAATTGTCTATGAGAAGTTCTGAGAGAAATTATACTACAGGTTACTAGACATGTGGTTCCATTGTTGACCAAGTCTATGTTTTCTGTAATTTGTCCTCATGTGATATTAGTCAGTGGAAGTTTAAAGCTAACATTGCAGTAGTTTTTTTTAATGTTGACCAATGAGGAGTGCAATCGGATCCATTTGAAGACTCAAAACTACTCAGAAATCACAGAAAGGGGAAACAACTGCGATAAAATTTAGACAGAGACTGGAAATTGCATACAAAATCTCTTAAACCGAGAATTTAACAGAGACAACTTGAACTTTAGGATATCAGATAGTTAATTTAATATATTCAATACATTAGCTGACTTTATGCATAAAATTATTTTGAATGCCCCAGCACAATGAAATCTCCAAAAGAGAACAAAACTAGTTTTTTACTGCAATCTGGTGAACCCCACATGAATAAAACTACGCCTTTGCCATTACCAAAGAAAAAGTATGGGAGCGATATCGCCAAACATGGGCCATAATTATATGACCCATATCTGGAAATGGTATGGGAAGGTTGGATGAAGATATGGAACTGGTATGGGACTCAATTTTGCCACATTTTAATGTATGGAAATGTATAGGAAGAAAAGCTATCTATTGTATGGGAAAGCTATGGGAACACAATTTCCATATAAATTATATCCCATAGCAGTAACAAATTTGCTTGCTCTACATCTTCTATGGGAATGATACAGGGATGTCCACTGTTCAATAGTTCATAGATTTCCCATATCAGCTGATATGATTTTTTCAAGTCCCACAGACTCCCCTATGATTATTTTATAAAATTCAATCTGAATTTATAAAAGCTCTTCAAGAAATTCACTCCCATACAGTCTCCATAATTTTTATGATTAATTTATATGGGATTTCTATGGGGCCAAAGACCCTTGGTGAAATTTTCTCCCATAGAGTTTCCAGGCGAGGCTCTCGTAGAAAACTGTGAGACCAAAGCAAAACTTTTGTTGAGATGTGAATTAACAAGCCAATGGTTTGGGTTAAAGAGGCCTACATCATTTCAAAGAACCAGCAAGTGACAAGACAAGTGTCTTGTTTAAAAAGAATTATTGGTGAACTATCCTTCAATAATGAAGAGTTAAATACAAGTCAATTTATTCCAAGTAATCGTGATGCAAAACACAGTTAACTGTTGGTTATTGAACCCTTTGACAAGTTATATGACTTTGTTGTAATAATTATCTTTACATCATATTCTAGCTGTTGTGCAACAATTTATGCAAATCAATTGTTTTACCCATACACTCTGTGGCTTACATGACCAAAAATAGACTGAGGTGATTAGTCTATCAATCTAAGATATATGTTTATATAGTTTACATACTATATGTTTGATCTCAATTAAAGCTCTTGAACCTACTCACAGCTTAATTCTTACAAACTCCGTCTGTGATAAAAATGGCTTTTGAGTAAAAAATTATGCATTGGCACTCATAACTTACTAAAAGATTGAGCAATCAAAGCAGAAGATTGCTGTTGTATTTTCAAGTTGAACTTCCACGAACTTTGATTGGAGTTTGAACTATAAGAGTTATAAGAGATGATATGAAACTCTATGATCAACCATAACTATGAGATTCACTTCAATGGACAAAATCTCTTCACCCATGTTTAATTATGGAGATATAGTAACTACTGTGGAAGTGTTAAAAAATCAAGAAAAAAATCTGTCTTTGTTGATTGGTTTTTAGTATCACAGTCAAGGTGAATTTAGGTTTACTACAGTTGGGGCTAAGGAAAAGCCAAGAATGAATTTTAGTCTTTTTCAATATGGTTTGGGAAATGTGCTGCATAACTCACATCACAGTCTGAAAACTTGATATAAACACATATGTCGGTAATGTCTTCAAGAGGGACAACTGTGGACCTGTTCTTGTTTGGCTCATAGAGACAGACAATGTGGCTTATTAGACTTCCCAGAACTTCATGGCTTTTACATACATGCCAACCAGACATTGACATAGGAGCAATGACAGCCCCACAAGCCACACTTGGATTATTCCTGACAGAAAAGAATGCTTCAATGTACCCATAACATATACTGTCTCCCTGCTGGTAAGCAATGGTGTAATTGTTTCTTCTGGAAACTCTTTTGTATGCTCTGGAGTGGAACACTGCTTCTCCAATTTGGAGTCTTGAGAAAAATGTGACATCAGAAATTGATTCAACACCAAGAAATAAAAGAAGGTCATCTTCATAGTCAGCATTGGTAGATTTGCCCTTCTTCATTGCACCAACAGCATAGAAGTGATCTTTTAGAGGAGTTCTTTTAATCCTAGAAGAGAATTAACTGCCAATATGAATCTGTGTTGCAAAAGCCTTAATAGCAGGGGCCATCTACAATTGGTATAAGGTTTGATGGAGCAGAAACCAATAATTGTGGAATTGCATGCATTTTAGGCATCCTACTGAGGAGTGGTAAAAGTAGGAAGGTAGGGGATCCATATGAGAGTGGCTTGCAATGCTGTCTATCAAAGCTCTAAAACTGTATCCTGCCACCCTAACAACATCCACAGGATGTATCATTGTAAATTTTCTCACATGTGATGTGGTCATCCCAGGTTCCTGGCTTTGACAATCAGAGATCTAGGACGGTGTAATGTTGAAAGCAACATCTCAAGAAATTGTGGTGTTACAGTCATTTGCAGAAGGCAATTGAAGCAGAGCCTCTTTACTGCTAGAATTCTTTTTCTCTCTATGCTGAGTTCAGTGTAGCCCTGAAGTTGTCTACCATTAATCCAATTCCTGTTGCCACTGATTACATTTCCTGTTTCCAGCATGACTTTCCAAATTGGAAGATCATGCTTTCTTCTATCTTGTGCTATAAGTTTTACAAAAGATAATTCAATACAGAAAACCCACTTTTCACCTTTAATTAGTTGAAAATCACAATCAACTTGCAAGCCCATAAACACTCACACACTCGCACTCTGTACGTGAGTCTCCTGTCAATCCTGCTTCTGACCAGTTTCTGTCAACATAGTCACCTATACTAATTAAATTGCAGTACTTGCAAGCTGCTATGATCACAGAGAAAAAAATTTATATTTAAGTTTGTCAAGAATTAGTAATTAACACATCTAATTAGTTAGTCCTAATTTGTTTGGGTTTCCCATAGGCCAGCAAATTCGCTGTAAAAGACAATGCAATTACCAAATGTTTTGAAAGCCAAGAATATTGTTGGGATTATGTTCTCAGTGCAGGAAGTCTCCATATGTCAGTCAAGACGGTTTACAAGCTGTACAGTAAAGCATAATAATAATAATATAAGAATATATATAGTGCCATTTCCATGGGCTCAATGGCGCTTTACAATAATTGTAATTCTATAAATAAAAAACGTTTAATTTATTAAAGAAAGTATACAACAGTCGTAGAAATTAATTTCTAAAATAAGATGCAATCTACTTGCTAAGATTAACTAAGGAAAATGTATACAATAAAAAGAAAAAAGGTGGTCAACTTACTACTAAAAACCTCTCTAAAAAGTAGTGTTTTAATCTTATTTTTAAAACATCAAGGTTCTGGATTGATCTTTTATTTGCTTTATATGCTTGCATGTCCATTCAGAAATCACATACTTGACTTGCATATTCTACATGAGGTCTCACTATAGCTACTTCTTTATAAGCTAATTCTTGGCAGTTGCCAAGATTTCTTTGCCGGAAGCTGAGGGATTTGTTTGCTATATTTACCTTACTGTTAATTTGATATCTCCAATCTAGTGTAGAAGATAGTTCAATTCCAAGATATGGATGCTGTGACACTGATTGTAGCGTGTGACCCATTAATTTGTAATCATGGATAACAGGATCATGTTTTCTGGTTATCCTCATGACAAAGCATTTACTTGGGTTAAATTGCATAAGCCATTTCTGTGACCGATGTTCAATTTTGGATAAATTGGATAGTAAATGCGCAGCGTCATTTGTCAATTCTATAACACTGTATAGGATGGTGTCATCTGTGAACAGGTGTAGAGTGGAGGAGCAATCATTACCAATTTCATTTATATGATTATACAAAGAACATCAGTGGTCTTCAGACAGTTCCTTGTGGGACACCAGAAGATACACAAACTGGACGAGATAAGGCACCATCAACCACAACAGACTCTTCCTTGTTTATGAGCCAATTCGTTAGCCAGTGTTTGTGGTGACTATGTCTGCCATATAATAATCCAGTTTATTATTTCGATGTTGGTGAGGAACAACATCAAAAGCTTTAGAAAAGTCCATAACTAAGTTATTTCACCATCAAGAAGTTTGTTAGGTAGTATCTGTTGGTTCTTTCCCAAGAAAAACTGACAATAATGTTTTAAGCCCAAAGAGGAGACAGAATAAATTTGCCACTTAGCTGTCCTTGATTGAAGTCTGGTAAGTGGGTGTCATTACAAGACTTTGGGAAGGATGGATAGCCCTCTCTATCAGGTGGTTTCTTGAACAGATCGTGTCCATAATGATCTGATTTGCTGCTTCTTTGTTTTGTTGCTACCCTTCAAAAGTTGTCCAGTTGCATTGCAGTCAGTGTTAGCTAATGGTAGACCAGCTGCTTACGATTCAAGATTCAATGGTATCTGCTGTTTGTTTTGCATTCTGCTTATTGAGGTACCCTTGCAAAGCAAGACTGGAACATTCTGGTTATTTCTAGAGAAATATGATGAAATATTTCTGGAAATTTCTAGAATTTAACAATGTTCTTTCCTGGAAAACTCTACAATATTCTAGAACAACAACAACAACAACAACTTAATTTTTTCACCCCAAAATATACAAGAATGAAAAATTTATAATGATATTGAATAATTTGTTCTTGCTTTTGGAAGATAATAAGACTGTTTTGCACCAAGCCTTGTATTATAGGTATGGATTTGTGAAATTTTACTAAAAAAAGAATTAAAGACTGGTGGCAATAATTGATTATGATATTTATACATAAAGATTGCTAGATGAAAAGTTACTAGGTCTAGGATTTTTATAATTTCAAGAGATTTAATTAAAGGACTAGAGTGCTCATCAAATCTAGAAAAGGTAATTAATCGCATTGTTTTTTTTTTTGTAAAATGAAAATTGGTTGAAGAGTGGTCTTATAGGTATTTCCCTAGATAATTATTCCATAGGTCAAAAAANTTAAAAACTCTCCAAAGGTTTTGATATTATAGGCTTTTAGCATTTGTAGTATAATTATCAATTGGAATGCTGAATGGCCCTACAGACTTGCCAGTCTTTAACTTAGATATTTCAGTTTAAATTTCACTACAAGTTACAGGAAAAAAATAAAAACTCTTACATACAGGATTATTCGGTTATACCATTGGGCTATTGGATACACTTGGTATTTCACTTTCTAGGTTTTAACCAATATTGGCAAAATAATCATTAAATGCATTAGCAACAAGTTTAGGTTCAGTTATTTATAAGTTGTTTTCTACAATCTGAATGAGCCTTTGGCTAGTTTGCAGCTTAAATTTTACTATTTGCTTAATACCTTTCCAGATCCTTTAGCCATCCTTAATGTTTTGAAAAAATATTGATTATAATATTGTTTTTGGCTTATTTTTAGAAGATGGTTTAATTTGTTCCTGTAAAGCTTAAATTTTGTATGGTAATAGGTAGATTTTGTCTTAAGGTATTTCTTATAATAATTGTTTTTAATTTGAATAGACTTTCATAAAGCTTTTGATATCCATGGCTTTGATTTAAGCTTTACTTCCCTCCTAGATAGTTGTTTGACTAGTATATGTTTATTGATTATGCTACATATTTTAAAGTAAAATGTTAATGAAACGTGCTAATTAGGGTAGAATCGGCTAGAATTTGCCAGCTTATACCAGAAATCACAAAACTACTTTCTAGGATAAAATCAGTTTTTCCAGCTTTTTCCAGCTTATTTCAAAATGTAGATTTCTAGATTTTCGATGAAATTCTTGCATACTCCTTAGAGGAAGTGGTGATTTCAACTATTTCATCAAATTATTTAGATGTATACAACAAGGCTAAGCTAGTAACTTACCATGAATCTTAACAGGCTTTTTGTTTGTAGCATTTCACATACCCAACAAAAACAAGAATCATGTTTTTGTTAGCAATACCCTTGTAGAACAAATCTGGAATATTCTAGGAACTTATAGAATTTTTCTAGAAAAATCCCAGAAAAAAATTGTAGAAATTTCTAGAATTTACATCTTTTGTTTTCTGGAAATTTCTAGAAACTTCTAGAATGTTAATGAAACATGCTAATGAGATACACAATTTGTCAGCTTTTTCCAGAAATCATTGAGCTTGGCATGAAGTAAGGTTTTTTCCAGCTTTTTTTATTACACAGTTTCTAGAATTTTCTAGAAAAGTCTTGCTCTCACCTTACAGAAAACCAGTGCAGAAGGAGCATTAATTTCCAGCTGTTTCTAGGTTATTCCAATTTTTACCAGATAAATTCAGTTACAGGGGTTTTAGCTTTTCAGTTCCCTCATCCTTTTTAGGTTAGATAATTTCAGAGAATAACTGCCGGAACGGAACTCAAGTATTCTCATATTTATTTTCATCACAAGTAAAAACTATCATCTAAGTTACAAGAAACACAGAAAATCAGTCACTTTTTGCCAATACCTGATAACCTGTATTTATTTGTACATGATAAACAATTATAAAACAAGAGTTAAATCTTGATTGTTCAAAACATACACCACAACCTTCGTGGAAACAGTAACTCATGAAACTTATAAACAAAATGTTTTAAGAGAGAACTTTCACAGTTTAACTGTGTTCCTGTCCTTTATTATTTTTCATTCTTTTTCTTGACCTTCAGGTGGTTTTCTTTATTTGATTTAGCTCTGGCCTTTTTCAGAAGGAGATTAAGGTCTTTCCTGACAGATGACCTTGTCATTGTAGGGAAGTCTTTCTTTAGGAGAATGTCTGTCAAGAGAAACAGCCAAATAAAGGTTAATATCAGTCAATGTACTCGGACAGTGTATGGTGTTAACAGGCCAAGAGGGTCAAACAATGTTGCTATCCCTTTTAAAAGAATTTCATTTCGTTTGGTCACGTTTCTCAGCAGGCTGGTTGACTTGAAACTTAAACACTTCCTCCACGGGGAACCAAAGGACTCCTAGGGTTTTCACTTAAGGTAATTCACCACGATCAAGATCAACTTCGGTGGCGCAGTCTGAAGATGGAATGCTCTGCAAGACTTCCGGCTTATTTGATAACCACTTCCTGGCATACATCTCAGCTGAACCCCAGAGCTCTGAAAATTGGTTGTATAGTTCAATTACAGTTTCACATCAGGCACTGAAACCATGAGTACGTACTTTTCAAG